GTTCCCCCTTCCCCTTCCCCTCATGTTAAGCAGTAATTCTTTATCTCTCCCTAGCCCCCCAGTAACCTCTAATATAGTTTGTGTCTATGAATTTGCCTATTGTAGATACTTCATGTAAATAGGATCGTAATACTCATTTTTTTGTGTCTGGCTTCATTTAACATGTTTTCAAGGCTCATCCGTGTTATAGCGTGTATCTGAATTTCATTCTTTTTTATGGGTGAATCATTCGTTGCAGGGTACACCAGAGCTTATTCATCTATTAACCTGTTTGTAGACACTGTTTTGACCTTTGGCTGTTGTGAATGGTGCTGCTATGAAGAGCAGTACACAAGCATCGGCTGAGGGCTGGTTTTTGAGATGGAGTCTCGCTCTGTCGCCCAGGCTGGAGTGCAGGGGCGCTGTCTCGGCTCACCGCAACCTCCGCCTCCCGGGTTCAAGCAATTCTCCTGCCTCAGCCTCCTGAGTAGCTGGGATTACAGGCACGCGCCACCATGCCCAGCTAGTTTTTTGTATTTTTAGTGGAGACGGGGTTTCACCATGTTGGCCAGGCTGGTGTGGAACTCCGTTCCTTGTGATCCGCTGGCCTGACCCTCCCAAGTCCTGGGATTACAGGAGTGAGGCACCGCGCCTAGCCTGACTTCTTCCTTTCAATTCATGTGTGCATGTACCCAGAAGTGGAACTATTGGATCCAATGGTAATTGTTTTACTTTTTCAAGAACTACCAAGCTGCTTTTCAACCACGGCTGCTCCAGTTTACATTCTTTTTTTTTTTTTTTGAGACAGAGTCTTGCTCTGTCACCAGGCTGAAGTGCAGTGGCATAATGTCGGCTCACTGCAACCTCCACCTCCCGTGTTCAAGCAGTTGTCCTGCCTCAGCCTCCTGAGTAGCTGGGACTACAGGTGCACGCTACCTCGCCCAGCTAATTTTTGCATTTTTAGTAGAGACGGGGTTTCACCATGTTGGCCAGGAGGGTCTCAATCTCCTGATCTCATGATCCGCCCATTTCGGCCTCCCAAAGTGCTGGGATTACAGGGTGAGGCACCGCGCCTGACCTCTAGTTTACATTTTTATCCGCAATGCATGATGGTTCTAATTTCTCCACATCCTCACCAGCGATTGTGGTTTCCCATTGATTTTTTTTTTTTTTTTATAGCCGTCTTCATGGGTGTGAAATGGTAATTCTCTGGCCTTGCCTTGCCTTTCCCTAGTGATTAGAGATGCTGAGCATCTTTTCATGTGCTTTTTGGCCATGTGTTTATCTTCTTGGAAGAAATGTCTATTGATGTCTTTTGCCCATTAAAAAATCGATTTTTAAATAAACAGATACAAATTATACATATTATGTACAATGCAGTGTTTTGGAACATGTATCTGTAGTGAAATGGCTCGATAGAGCTAATTAACATACTTTGGTCTTTTTAAACTGAGTTTAGTTTTTTGTTTTTCAGTTATAGGAGTTATTTTTATATCCTGGATAATAGAATCTTACCAAATACTTGCTTTGCAAATATTTTCTCCCATTCTGTGGGTTATCTTTTTGCTCTCTGATAAGGTCTTTTGATGCACAAAAGGACATATTCTGGTGTCATATTTAAGAAGCCATTGCCAAATCAAGGTCATGGAGATTTGTCCCCCAACATTTTCTTCTAAAAGGTTTATAGTTTCTGCTCTTACCTGTAGGTCTCTCATCCATTTTAAGATAATTATTGTGTATAGCGTCAGAATCCAAGGTTATTTTTGCTTGCGTATGGATATCCAATTTTCCTAACATCTTCTGTGTGAGACACTGTCTTTCTCCCATTGAGTACTCTTGGCACCCTTGTTGAAAATTGACTATAGGCAGGCTGGGCGCGGTGGCTCACGCCTGTAATCCCAGCACTTCGGGAGGCTGAGGTGGGCAGATCATGAGGTTAGGCATTCGAGACCAGCCTGGCCAACATAGTGAAACCCTGTCTCTACTAAAAATAGCAAAAAATTAGCTGGGCATGGTGGCGGGTGCCTGCAGTCCTAGCTCTTTGGGAAGCTGAGGCAGAAGAATCACTTGAACCTGGGAGGCAGAGGTTGCAGTGAGCTGAGATCGTGCCACTGCACTCCAGGCTGGGTGACACAGCAAGACTGTCTCAAAAAAAAAAAAAAAAGTTGACTGTAAACAAAAAGGTTTATTTCTGGGCTCTCTATTCTATAGTCTCCTGTTGGTTTATATGCATTCTTGTAGCAGTCCCATGCAGCTGTAATCACTGTAACATCGTAATAAGTTTTGAAATCAGAAGTGTGAGTACTCCAACATTGTTCTTTGCCAAGTTTGTTTTGGCTATTTTGAGCTCCGTTGAATTTCCATATGAATTCTATCAGCTGTCATTTTTTTGCAAAGAAGCCAGCTAGGGCTTTTGATATGGATTGTTAATTGTATAGATCAATTTGAGAAATATTGCCATCTTTTTTTTTTTTTTTTTTT